AAGAAATATTGGATTTTGAATTCAAAGATCTCATAAATGTCTTAGCATAAATGTCCAAAATAAAAAGATATTTTAGGGCTGTAGATTTCTGTAGGAAACAGAGGTTTTAGGATAAGATGACCCATTACACATGCCACTCTCTAGAAACAAAAAAGCATTTTATTTTCAAATATCACATTTTGTATATTTTATTTTTTCAAAATATTTGTAATGAGATAATAGGATGGAAATGCTGCTGCGTCATATTTATTGTTGTGTTGCAGAATTGCAGTTGTTGTTTGTGCAGGTCTGTCAAATCATTTTCAGTATGTTTGTTCTCATGCTTAGTTCACAGGTTCACATGTTCACTTAGTTTCCAGTTGGTTCTGCCTACAGTTCACAGCCGATGCCTTACGGCCAGATTGAATTCCCCCATGCACAACCGGCGTACCCCCTCTGAAACCTCTGGACCAGCAGCAGCCTGATGCACCACCTGCTAGCACAGCCTTCCAACCTCAGACTGCACCACCACCCTAGGCTGGATAGTGCACATATAAGTGCCTCAATCAGCATTTGTGAACTCGGCTGAATTGGAAGTATGTACTTCGAATCAAGATCTAGACTAACTTGGTTTGTGTATTTGTAGGAATGTTATGGTGCATTTTAATAGTTTCTAAGTAAAAGTATTAAAATGAGTTTTTTTACTGTACTGTGTAAGTTCATGGGAACAAAATGAAAGTGTGTGAGTTTTATCACTGGAGGATTTATGCTGGAAAGTCAACCACTCATAGTTTTAAAAAAATCAAAATCAACTTAATTAACATCTACAATATTGTTTTTTATAATAATACAAGTATGTTGCACACATTAAATAGAAGAAACCATTGTGCCTTCCAGGCAAAAGCATGTGCGTAATTTACATTGCCTCCAAATATATTTTTCTGCTTTCTAACTGTAAATAACTGTCATCATGAATGCTGTTGACTCAAATGATCCACAATGGTTTGGGGTGCTTTTTTTAAAAAAAACAAAAATGCTGCCATTGAACCTTATTTTTGACGTTTTCACAACAGGAACTCTTTTATTCACTCCTTATACAAGTGGACTTTTGTTTATGTGCTGTTTCATTTGTAATTTTGTGTAAAAAGAGGGGAAAAAAGGAAAATGACTTGAAAAATCATTAGCACAAAATAGCTCGGTCACGCTTCTTACTGAGAAAAAGTGTTTGTAGGTAGTCATTTATAAGAATGCCTTTATTTTGCATAGATTTTTCTTTTACAATTTCAGATCAAACACCATCAGACAGCACACCATGCACATTCTCTAAAATGTTTTCATGTATCACTTATTCACCCAAGGTACTGTAGAACATCCCAAGACTGTTAGGCTACAGTACAACATCTGTTACAGTTTTTCTCAGTTGCTTTGGTGCATTTCTCACAACAGAATTAAACTTTGCACCACTACTAAGGCTCTTCTCAAAACAATTAGTGCAAACTGCAAAACATGGTGGATAACTTGCAAAAGTGAGTCACTTCATCAAAAAGAAAAGTCAGTTGTTCAAAATAAGTAGTCA